GATAGTGCGTTGACGGAAGACGATTTCGGGCAATCGACTCTCAACGGGTGGAATGTCTGGCGGCAGTTTTTCTTGGGAATCTCAAGTAGAGTTTGCTGCGAATATTTCTGCGAAAATATTTGCTTTCTCCTGCGATGTTGTTGCTAATGTGCCGTCGGATTTGGACAGTGGTGGAAATGAACCTATTGGCGTCCTTTTAGTCGCCTTCTACGACAGGCAGGACTTACCGTGGGGTTATTGTAATCCGACCACCACACGGATAAGGGTAAGGGGATATTATATTATATCAATAACCAACCGTAACAATGTTATTTATTCTTGATGATCTCTAGTATTCCCTTTTTAGTTCCTCAGAGCTGAAATTTACCTTTAGCTTCAAGGAACTCAAAGTGTTGCCTAGCAACATATCTATGTTTGTGTCAGTAGTATAAACGTCAATTCACGAGCTAAACTTTCGTGTCGGTTGCAGAAAGATAATATATACTCCGATGAGTCAGGTGGCTTATGAAGATTCGAATCTGAGACACATGTATGTAGTCGAATAAAAAGTAGAGTACCTATACAACTTGGATTGTTGTTTGATGTATACGCACTACAATTGACAGCATATATCTTATTTCACATTGCGATAATGGAGATCCGTAATGACATCGCCCACAAACTCGAACATCCTTTCATCGGACCGAATAGAAGAATCAGGGTTTTCCAATTTTTCTATCGCCTATTTCACGTTATTCGAGTTGGTACGCATATATATGGCATTGCTATGAAACTACTTCGAGTTTGCTTTCACGTCTCGCCGACGCTTGCCAAATGATTTCAGTGCAGATTACCCAACTTTACAGATGCGAAAGCTTGGTTTTCCGCCGGAATCAAATTTTTATGCGCATGTGCGGCTCACAGTTTTAGTCACAAAGGTCATTTATTTCAACACGAATAGGTTAAGCTATGCTTCAACCACTCCACTTCACTTGATTACATCCATATTTTTTTGGTAGAATGCCCATATCGCTACTTCGAAGTTGGAAGCTTGTGCGGGGTCAAAAAGAGCAGAACCTACAGCTTATATAGGGTGTAGACTTCAACTGGAATGAATTCGCTACTGGGGCAGTGAATGGTTTCTCTGAAAATTCGCGAGACACAATGTTGAAATGTTTTCACCTTCATTTGGCGAGCAATATGGAAAATATAATCCTAGGGTAGCTACTCTATCAACCCCATTGTTTTTTTCGAATGCAACCATATGGCTAGCGACCCCTTATTGTAAAGCTGGTTGAAAAAGAACTCCAGCATACTGATCATATTCATGTTTGCAGTACGTTTGGGAGTCGCATAAAATTGAAATTTAATTTCTAAATTTGATATATTTTCAACATATTTTCATCAAACGTTCGACCTCAGGCGACAGTGATATAGGGCATTTCCATCAGTTCGCAATAACACTTCGTTTCAAACTGTGAATACGGCAAAAAAATAAATTTCTTTTTGTTGCTTTATCTCTATAAAAAACTCTGGAAGACAGTAAATAGCAGTTGTGGCACAAAATAACCAACAATCATTCAACACACACTTTGAGTTATTGATACGTTGAAAAAATATTGAATTTTGAAATTACATTTCAATTTTGTGCAACCTTTGAACGTATGGAAAACTAAAATTTGACTTATCCGCTGGATTCCTCTTTTCACTATGTTTCCAATAAGGGGTCACAAGCAATAGGGTTATATTTGGAAAAATCATGTTGAGGGTGCGATTTCAGCTACCCCTGGAGGGATATATTCCCGATATTGCTTGAAAAAGGTATGTAAATACATCAAATAGTTGACGTATGCCAAGAATTTTCAGAAAACATAATTACCTTTTCGCTAACGAATCATTTCCTGTTAAAGTCTCGATCCTTACTGTATGGTGATCCCAACCACTTTTATGGCTTCGAGGTGCTGCCATGATTATAACTATGAATCAAAAATTTTCAAGAAAATAGCTTATTGCTGGATTCGAACCGACAGCACCTTGGCATATTGAACGGCTGTTGTGCAAGTATGAACAGCGCTTTTATTCAGGTATGTTCATGCTCGTACGAATTCTGCAAAACTTATGCGAATAAAATGGCGGCTATACCCATATAGCACACGACGTCCAGTGGACGTCCAGTTTAGGTCCAAATAATGTCCAAAGGTCCATGAACCTAACATGGACGTTCAATGGATGTACAATTAGGGATATATTTTGTAACGTCCAGTACTGTACGCCTTATGGATGTCCATTGGGAGTAAGATATTCGACTTCACCAAAACATCCATATTCCTAGGTTTCAGAACGTCCAAGAAATGAACGAAATCGGATCTAAATTGTACGTTTACGATTCGAACGTCTATGTACGATCAATGAATGTATACGATTCCGGATATATTTTTTAAGTTCAAAATGGTACGTCTGATGGATGTACATGACTGGATCCAGTTTGTACGTTGACAAAATGGACATGAATGCACGTTCAGTGGATGAACGATCCTGGATATTTATTGTACGTTCAGTTTCGTGCGTCCATTGATTGTCAAGTGGATGTACAATTTTCGACATTATGAAACATCATCCATATCATGGCAGTTCTGGACCGACCTAGAAGAGTACGGTAGTGATCTAAATTGTATTTTCACAAATTGAACATCTATGTACGTTCAATGAATGTACGATTCTGGATATTCATTGTACGTTCAATGTTGTACGTCTTTTGAATGTCCATTGGAAGTTCAATATTAGATATTGTGAAACTTCTACAGTAAGAAGTTTCAGGACGTCCAAGTGACGTACATTATTGGATCCAGTTTGTACGTTTACAAATGGTACGTTTTTGTACATCCTTTGTATGTTGAAAGCTGGACGCACGGTAGAGGGGATGCGAGATGGCGCTCTGATCGGAACATGAAGTGGGGCAACGGAGGATATCGATCGAGTCCAGCTCCAAAGTGAACATATTATGTAGACGGCAGACAAGGAGGTTACGCCATTTTGTGTGTTTTATACGTGTTTGTGATGAAATTTAGGATTCAGACTATTTGGAACTGAATCATCCAAAGCATGTATGATGGTACGTAGCATATGTTCCGATATTCTTTCCATATAACTATTTATTTCACATGATAAATGTGCTCTGATAATGGTTTGGGGCGTTGTAGGTAATGCGGAATAGGTATTTCATGATATTCTGTGGGTAACCTATGAGCTTGTGATTTGTTCGGAAAGGACGACTTGGATTTCATGTGATATCAGAAATAGAGCTTTAAATTGGTATAGCACTAGTTGAAGTTGAGCTGAATTGCTGAATATAGGACTTAGACAGTTGATTTATACACTAATCCTCGACTACAGAATACTATGAGTAATACTTTGTTTGTCTCTTTTAACAGAAAGAAGAAGCGAGGTGACTGGAGAAAATATAAATCCATAATTTTTATAAAAATATAGTGAGAAAAGCACGATATCATCTCTACTATGTTTGAGAAATCAAATCAGGGAAATATCCAGCCTCTGCCTATATTCAGAAGTCATACAATATACAAGAGACTTATAATGGCTGGGTCATCCGGAAGTTCAACGTCCAATCGGGTTACGTCCAATGGATGTCCATGTATGGACTATATGTATATTGAATATATATTCATAATGTGGTTCTGAAGAGGAGTAATCATTGGGGTTCAGATAGTCACTGTATGGACGTTTATATAGAATTTGAACTGAACTGTGGTGAGTATCCAATTATACAAGCAGTATACAATTTTATTATTCCTCTCTTCATATATAGGTAATATTATAGCACTACCTTTTCAGTTTCATTTTTATCGAATTTTGTCCTCAAAAAATCAGGATATAACTATATCTTGTCAGTTTTTTGAATTAATGCTTTTTCAGATAGTATGTTTTGATTACTCGAATCTTTCATGAATGTCGTGAGTCGAAAAATATTTAGCTGCTAAATTATGCTGGAAAACCTATTACAGATTCTGTTTAACTCGACATCATCCTAATTATGATGGCTGAACAAGAGCAGAATGACGAAATTCATGCAATAAATTCCAAGCATATGTTGTATCTATATTGAATGATATTACACTGTACCTTACAGATATTTTTTTAATAAATAATATTTTATATGAGTATGGATTCTTTGTTTGGATATTCATTGACTGCTTTCAGTTCATGTCCATTGAACATCCGTACGTCCATTGGACGTCTCTAATGGACATCCACTGACTGCTTTCAATTAACGTCCATTGGACATCCTGAATGTACGTTCATTGAACATCCTGAATGTATGTACGTCCACTGTACATCCTGAGTGTATGTCCATTAGACATCCTGAATGTACGTCCATTGAACATCCTCAATGTACGTCCATTGAACATCCTGAATGTCCGTCCATTAGACATCCTGAATGTACGTCCATCAGACATCCTGAATGTACGTCCATTGAACATCCTGAATGTACGTCCATAAGATGTTAAATCCAGTGAGCTGTGGACGTTTTCTGGACGTTCCAATGTACATGACTGGACGTTCAATGGACGTCCACTATGTCCATGTTGTACATCCGTTGGACATTCATTGGACGTACATGTGCTATATGGGTAAATATCGCAATGGAGTTGAAATGATTGAACGTTTAACGAATTCGCCTGGAATCATAAACACGCAATATGCATAAAATGTGTTTTTCTTATTTTGATAACCTAGAGGCTGAGAAAAGACTAGACTAGATCTATAAACTACATCTGGTACACAATTATGACTATAAAATTAATCAACTCCTCATTTGATTGTTTTTTTTCGCCAGGTGGATTCTCTGGATCATTTGTATCATCTCTATAGAGCTAATAATAATGATGTGTCCAGACGTAAAAAAGGAGTTGTAGTGTTTGAAGAATTTGAAAATGGAGATAAAGACACTAAATTATAATTCGAAATATCTAAATTATTATCGAGTTTTCTGTTACTTATAGGAATGTTGGCATCACTTTGTTCAGTATGTGTGGTGATTGGAATTCTACTCATCAATATCCTGGGCAACTACCTTCCGATTGATACCACCGCTTATATAGGCTGTATCTTCCCCATCGTCCTCTTCATATCATTCTTCTGGATGCCTGAAAGTCCATCATTTCTTCTAAGAAATAATCGCTTTGAGGAAGCGGCAAAAAGTATCGAAACATTACGTGGAAAGGAAGAAGCAGATAAGGAACTGAAGAGGCTTCAGCAAGACTTAGTGGAAGATAATGGAGCCACACATAGATTCACAGATCTTTTTACGGACAAGGTAAACAGAAGAGCAGCTTTCATTGCATATGGACTAAGGTCAATTCAGCAGTTCTGTGGTGCTACAGCCATAACGTTTTATTGCAAGACAATATTCCAAGAGGAAGAAGATATTTTAGCTGCCAATACTTCTACGATACTTTATTTCGGCCTACAACTTATAATTGCTATATTCGCTACTTTTATTGTTGACATCACCGGTAGAAAGCCTCTTCTAATTTTATCGATAACAGGGACAGTTTTGACTTTATTTCTGATGAGTGCATACTTTTTTCTGAAAGAGAAAACAGACTATGATTTGGATAATTTCACTTACTTACCTTTGATAGTTTTATTCCTGAATGTGAGCTTTCTCAGTATTGGTATTAGGAATATTCCTCTGCTGATGATGGGCGAGCTATTTTCCCCAGATATCAAGTCGATAGCTTTATGTTTTGGAACAATCTATTATAGTATTGTAGCTCTGTTAACAGCAAAAATGTTTTATTTAACGACTGATGCTTTCGGAATGTATGTACCCTTCTTGATATTCGGAATTTTGACGTTATCCAGTTTATTCTTCGTCATTTTTTTCGTACCAGAGACTAAAGGGATGAGATTGAAAGATATTCAGATCAAGTTAGGAAAACTTGGAGATAATCAAGATACAAAATTGTGAAAGACTGGAAAATTTAATATTAAAACGTGATAACATTTTAACAAATAGTGTTTCATTTCCATGTTCTCCCGGATTTGATATTCTCAAGCCAGTAGACCGGAAGCCCACAACGTGTTCTTCATCTCATCTGTTAACACTCAGCAGTATTCGAACCCCCCAAATTCTACGTTCCACTAATATACACGGATATCAGCTCGCCTTAATGAAAATCGTGGACCAAAGAGTGAGGGTAGCGTGTGCAGTTGTATTTGAAAATCCTTGGTCTCGAAGCATTACTCACCGTTAGGCGTATGTCGCAAGTTAATGTAATAGAAAAAAGAGTTTGGGCGGACGGCATCGTCGAACGTGTAGGGTGGATATATACGATGCGCTATGGCGCTGTCTATTGTCAATAACTCTTCAGTTCAGCTTATAATTCAAAAATACTCGAGTACTTATCACCGAATATTCTGATTGAATTGGGGGCCAACCACCCACGTGTACTTCTGTATTTATGGTGTAGAGTGAGCGTTTATCATACATTAATGTTCGGCATCGATTTTATACTATCTTATGAGTCGTTTGAACCGTTTATTTGAAAATTTGTTATGACGAATTGATCTTTGCTTCATCATTAAATCGGTCTAATTCGGGGGATGTCAGATGACATCTAATATCCTATTATTCATCATAAAACAAAATCGCTGATCGTTTCCAAAAATATTGCTAACGAAAATTGGAATTCAATATCCAATTAACTGATCCGGAATATAATTTTTATGCTTCTATTTCATTCAGGATATAATTTGAATTTGATGCCGAACACTAATGTTTAATAAACGCTTACTCTAAACCCTAAATAAAAAAAGTAAGCGTGGGTGGCTAGCTCCTGATCCAAACAAAATGTTCAGCGATCATATTAATTTGAGTATTCGTGGATAATTAAACTACGCAACAATAATTTCGTTTCATCCCGAAATTCTGCCCCTGTAATAATATGATTAACTTTTTTTTGCTTTCAACAATGCTTTCAACAATTCGGATCACACTGTAAGCTATCCCAATCCTCCAGCTAAACTTCTTGAGCTTTCAGGCTCATTCTCTAACTGAAACTCCAGATGGAGAGATATAAAGATCGAAATTGGCTCAAGATGAACAATATACAGTGTGTTTCACCGTAATTGTTGAGTTGGCAAATCTGAATAACTTGCAGGAGCGGAAGATATTCTGAAAATACACACTATGAACTCTCCGGTGATATACACGGCTCGCCAACAGCCATGGAACCACCAACAAAAATGATTCGATTCGAAATCAGGAGGTCCAATTCACAACCTTTTTATATTTTCAATGAAAACATTTTCGTCCTAAAAATTTTTTTCGTAATTGTTTATGTAAGCATCTCCATTTCTTACGTCATTATAAGGATAGGGTTCTCAAATTTGGGGAAGAAAAAAAAATCCAGTGTTTCCATGAAAAGTTAGACAAGATTTTATTATTGAGAACTGAAATCTCACCAGGAACATGAGCGTATTTCGAATACTGGTAATCGTCGGTTCTCGCTGATGATTCATAATCTACGAATTTCTAGGAGAAACAATCGACACTGCCTGATGTGGAGGTGTCCTAGCCATTTAAGTTATTGCTTTTGCATGTAACTCGATTCTTGTTTTGTCACAGTACATTAGTATATTGATATAAACTAGGTAGAATAATCTTATTCACACATGCCTCTTGTTATTTTTCAGATACCGCCAGGTAGAGGATGAGAGTAACCTGAAACGATCACGATCTGCTCCACCTGCAACATCACTATCTTCAGAATCCTTCAATGTACCAGCCCTCTGCCAAGTAGGGAGAACCGTCATGTATTCGTCATTTATAACCGCAGAATTCTGATGAAACCTAGGATTTTCTTGATGGTTCACTCGAGTAGACCTGTTCTTGGAGAGTCAGCCATTGGCGGACTAGTATCACATGATATAGGACTAGCAAGTGAGGAGCTAGAGCAAGTTGAGAATTTACAAAATTTACGTCCCTACTTTGCAGTTTTTCATTAATAATTCTTCATCTACGTATCCATTACACATGAACACACATCATGCACATATTGAAAGAGCATCGAATTATCTATAGAGCTCAGGAAATGGAAAGGGAGAATAATAAGCCCCATACTAGTGATCAATTCCAGGTCAACAAAAATAAAATGGTCATCAACAATTACTGAGCTCCAGTAAACCAGAGCTAGATTACTCAAAAACTGGGCATAGCGTAGACTTGTACTTGTCGCATTTATAATAACGTGACTGAAACCACGAAACACATACTTTGCCCGAGCATGAAATTTACGTTATAGTCCGATGACTGATTCACCTAGAACAGGTTCAACTGACGCCTGCTGAGGTGGAATATTAAACCACCAAGAAAATCCTAGGTTTCATCAAGAGTCAAGGGTTGAAAAAGACAATGAGATGAATGAAAACACAACAATCTACAAACGAATCATCATTATATCGTCGTTTGGCAGGGGGTTGGTGCCCTGAAGGATCTGGTTCTGGAGATGGTGATGATGCAGGTGAAGCAAATCGTCTACGCTCCAGGATACTCCTATACTCTATCTGGTAGTATATGAGAGAAACTTAATCATTTTTTCTTTTCTAACGATTTACAAGAGGCAAGTGTAAAAAACATTAACCCATTAGTGCATGAAGTTACTTTTTTCCAAATCTCTATATTCTGAAGATGTTGACTCATTCAAATATACCCAAAGAATGATAACTCATGACGAATATTTTTTTTTACAACAGATTTTTTTTATATGACACGTCCATTTTAATGGACTCTATGCAAATTGGTTCATTGATGAAAGTGATCAGTAGGGAATTTCAGTATTCATTTTTATCCAAGTACATATCCAGAACATGAAAATCTCAATAACATCATTCACAATATTATCAATAATAATAATAATGATAATAATAATGAAAATTATACATCATGATGATGACTTGATACGTTTTGAAGCATCTCTCAGATGCAGTCAGTCCTAATTTACATATAAAATTGCAATTTTGTGTATTCTACTGAATGGAATTCAGCTGATGGGTATATGGAAATGCATCATATCAAGAAATTATTTGGGATGATACTTCCAGACCTTTCTTTGTTGCTCCTCACACGATCTAGTGGAGGAAATGTGAACCCGTTGAAGAAGAAGAGGAGTCGAACAAGTGGATGGAGTCGTGTCTATAGTTGACGTGCTGCAGTATAACGTACAATCATTTGATGCTATAATATTCCTTTTCATAATGCAAAGATGTATATAATTTTCAATTTCATCAAAATCAGGATCAGAATAACGAAAGTCGCACGGCTGTTTGATAATTCCTTTAGAAATATGATTTATTATGGATTCACAGTTTCTAAATTCGAATAACTGCATTTCTGCCAACTTTTCTTCTGGAGGCAATATAATATATGATTATCTGTTGGTTGATCGATATCTGAGCCATTTTCCATATGTCTAAGAGGTGTTTACAAGAATGATCTACAAAAAAATCTTGATGACCGATATGCATAGAGTCCATTATAATGGACACAACACAAAAGCAATATTTTGAGTGTCTTACAAAAAAAATTATTATTCGAATTACCTTATAGGTTCATAAACACATGCATATAATGAGATCTTGAGTGATAGGAAATTCTGAAATTCATTATACTCCGTCATAATAAATACTTACCCTCCTTGTCGGGTGCAATACAAATTGTTATCCATTTGATCACGTGCAGAATATTGTCGAGATACAAATTCATGAAATAGAAGCGATAGCTGTTTGTTGTTGAACTACACTTATAGTTCTGGCGCATGAAACATTCAATTCCTGCATGATTGACGTCACAAAAAATTAGACAAGGAGCGTCCATTATAAGACACATTATGCACTAATGGGTTCCTACCTAGTTTATGTAAATATACTGAGGTACTGTAACAAAACAAGAATCGAGTTACACGCTGACACGAGGAATAATTCACATGGCCAGGACTCATCCACATCAGGCGGTGTAGTTTGTTTTTCCTAGAAATGCGAAGATTATGAATATATCCACAAGAACCGACGAAGAACACTATTTCGTGCCAAATACGAAAACTTGGTATATTTCTAATTTGCTCTAGCGCCTTACCTACTCGTTAATCTTCCATTCATGAGCAAGGGAAATTCATTGAAGAGAATTGTATCTACTTAAAATTTGCAGAGCGTGGTCTTTCCGCTATAATGAATATTTAAAATGTAAAATTTCCGAGTAACTAGCTAAAAATTGAAGGAAGTGCAAAAATTTTGCTATTTTCAGCGAATATCTGGAAACGCTACAGGAAATTTTGTTTGCAATCTTCAGATTCAGATTCAGCACCCTCAAAAACTCATGAAACCGCAGAAAAATCGACTATTTGAATTGTTTCCATGTGCAAATACCATTTGATTGGACTACGGGATATACAGGGTAATTCGAAATTCGAGGTGAATATTTCAAGGACATATTGCTGGAATCAAAATAAGACTTTTTTCATATCAACATATGTCCTTAAATACACCTTCTTCGAGCTACAGCCACTGAAGTTAGGTAAAACAGAAAGATTATCTAAAATTGGGATCAAAATAACGAGTCAATACTTTTGAAAATTGGCATGCCTTTCTCTTTTTAGACACCTTATTTCCTTCTGCGTCCAAAAAGCATGTAAAACTAGTTTTGGAGTAGCTGAAGGAGGGCTGTAGCTCGGAGGGCATGCATTATAGAATACATGTTAATATAAAGAAAAAGTCCCATTTTCATTCCAACAATACGTCCTAGAGGTATTTACATTGACTTTTGAATCATCCTCAATTTTATCGACTCTAAGAACATTGTGCCATGATACTGGATGATTCACGGTGAATTACGTATTAGAAGTATATGAAGAATGGGAAGACAAATCATTATGCAGATTGCAGATTCGTCCCAGATCATCTTGTATGATATTGAGCAATCGAGACGCAAGGTAAGAGAAACACCTTCGACCAATCGACT